CCCCAGTAATTCTCACATTTATAAGTCAAATGGCTTTGAAATTAGGTTAAATATAGCTCTATGAATTCGATATTTTTAGCACCATTTTTCACTCTGTTGATTTGTATGTGTTTTTTTCTTTTTGGAATTGGGATACTTTGCATTTAGGATCTATATGTGATCTAAGCTAGTGATGCACTCAAACACACACACACACGCACACGTGCGTGTGCCCATGTTTGTTAAAGTTTGTAGATCAGCAAGTGCCTAGCTATGATCAGCAAAACATTTAAGTTGCTATTTCTGATCTCAACTGGTCTATTTAATTAATGAATGTGGGTTTTCTAAGGTGTTGATTTGTTTTTAAAATGGTACTTTCAGCCTAATCAAGTAAATTTGTTTTATAATTTGGAAATATTTGCAAAGTATATTTTGTTTGTTTGCTTTCTTTCACCTGTTGAGATCCCTCTGGCCCTTTATATGTGTGTTTGTGTGCGTGCATGTGTGTGTGTGTGTGTGTGTGTGTGTGTGTGTGTGTGTTTTCCCTGAACTGAATCCCTGAGAGTGAGTCTAGATGGCTGAGAAGAAGCCAGGTCTGGGAAATGAGGCAAGGTTGAGAGTATAAGACAGCTGGTAATCAGCAGTAGACCAGGCCAGGGGGAGCCACTGTGAGCAGCATGAAATTGTGGCATCCATAGCACTGGAAGGTTAGAGTTGGTAAGTGGGTGGAACTGGCAGCAACAGAAATCAGGGATACAGAAATATTGGAGTTTGATAGGAGTGATATGAAAAGAGGACACAAAAGGAAAAAATCAGAAAAAGTCCAGGTCAGATCAGAGATCAGTTTATAGAAACTGAAAGAACTATGGCACCATTTTAGTAACAAACTTGGGACATTGGGATAGAAGTTCTTTGGTATTTCAGTGCAAATTGTGCTCCAGTCAAGAAGCTTCTTAGGCATTCCCTGCCAACGTAGGAACCAGTCCCAAGGTTGAGCCACCAGTGCCCACTTGTAAAAGCAGGTCATGGGTGTGTCTGCCTGAAAAAGAAAAGGAGGTGGCCTGGGAAGGTCCTAAGGAGAGAGGTTAAGGACGTGTAGCAACACAAGCATAATCAGCACTTTGCTGAGCCCTGTGTGTTCCATGACTCACATACCTTGGTTGTAACACACCCATCTTCCAGGCAGTAAAACCAGTGGGTTAGGGCTGGGTCTTAAATGTGTCTGCTCCATCTGAAGGCAGTATAGGGGAACTACTATGAAGAGAGTAAAGATGCTTCAGTTTAAAAGCTGCTAAACAATTTGCATTCTGTATAAAAGTCTTAGCTCTCTTTTTAAGATTTTTCATAACAAAAAAAAGGAGGTCTGTTTGTAAAGGAATGAATTGGAATAAATAATATAAATGAAGGTTAATTAATGAGAAAAGTACAATTTATGGTTATGTAAATAAAGACTTTTGCTGTATCTTACATATTCATATGCATGTATAGTATATATAAATACATATGCATATTTATAAATTTGTATTGCTTGGAAATTGCTGAGACTTAAGAGACCACTAATTGTTAATTGTTTTTAACTCAGTGGTTCAGTCTTTTTTGGACGTTAGTACATGATTACTTTGTCTAACTTTGTTTCTGTTTATGTTATAAAGTTAAATAAACTTACAGGAAAGAAGAACTCATTTAGCCTTAAAATCTCATATCTCTTTAGACTCACTTTTAATCATATATGTACTTGGCAATGTATTTGCCTTTTAACTTACATTTTAATGATGTAAAGTGAATTTACTTAGTGTTTATTTTATTTTATTTTTTTTCAAATCATTTTATCTTTAATAATCTCGCAGTAATTTAAAGTATGAGAAAAGTCAAACATGCTCCCTTTACGGGTGATGCCACCATGATAGGCTCACACAAGTATGATCAATCGCCATGATGACACTGGATGCCACAGAGTATGGCTGGTAAAAAGGCATCAGGGCTCACGGATTGAAGAGTTTGGTTATGGAGTCTCTGAGGGGTAACAGGCAGCAGAAGACATATCAGTTTAACGGACTTTCAGAGGACAGGGCGCGGTTGCTGGGTCATGAGCACCTTAAAGCGTTTCTTGATGGTGATTCGGTGTCGTGAGTATTTGTCACCTGGGGAGAACCGAGCAGGATGGGCTGAACAGGTCTGTTGTCCCATTGGGTCAAATTTCTTCAGCGTATAGACCCGATCTCCCTCCTTGTTGAGGTAATACTGGAGAAACATGACCACTCTTGAGCCAGAGGTTCCAATTCGGTACGCAACTCCGACTCTAGTGTTTATTTTTGATGGCTCTATTGTATAGTGATGTAACACATTTTGATTGTAATTCTTTTATTCTTGATCATTTGAGTCAATAATATTTTTTATTATTGGAAAATTGAACATTTTTTAACAAATTATTTTTGGGTTGTTTCCTTGGGGCATTTTCCCCAAAGTCAGATTAACAAGTCAAAGGGCAGGAACAATTTTATAGCTTCTATTATATATTGCCAGATTGTTCTCCAGAAAGATTGAGCTAATTTGCCACTCCACTATCAATGTATAAAGCACAGCCCCAGTTTTAGATAGTTTAGACAGTCTGGGCACACATGAAAAGTATAATTACATTTTTACCCTGAGGCCTAGCTGTAAAGATAGCTCTCATAAGCAAACTCAATATATGGACTTTGAAATTATAGAACTGATAAGGCATGTATTTTGTTCTTCAGAATATGGATGCTTGAAGTTAGGGACTTTTTGGAATGGAGAATATGTGGCGTGGAGGTAGAGAGTCCCTTTGGACCAGTGTGGTATTGTGATTGCATTCTATTGACATGTTTGTGAGGCCCTGAACAAAGGGATTGGGGGGGAACCAGGTCCTAGTGTTTCTGTGGCCTGAAAGGTCACCAGATGCAAGGAATCCTAGAGGGCTTGGTGGAGGTTGCAGGATAGTGGTACACTTTGGAGTCAGGCATACAGCAAAGGAGAAGAGGATGTCTAGTGGCTGTCCTGTGGCCACTAGTCAGTGGGCCAGGTACTCCCTGGTTAGAGGCTAGCCAAAGTCCTTCCTTATTAAAATGTTAACTCAAGGGTGTTGGGGCAATTTTTTTGCCTTTGTAACACAGCATTATCAACTTTACAATGGAAGTCAATAGAGATTATAGATTCTGTGGAAATTCTTTTCTTCTGTAAGCATGGACTTGCCTGGTCTATAAAGACTTTTTTTTCCTGTTTCTGACAAGGGAGAGACTTAGACCTTTATGTGAGAAATAAATTTCCTTCATTGCTCACGCATGCTGACATAGCATTGTACCTTTGCCAGCTTCCCCAGTGACTTGCAAAAATTCCATAACCTAAGTACTTACACAGAACATGTAACAGCACATCACAGAACTGGACCCAGAGAGTACTGCAAAAGACACTTTGATTCCATGGAATTCAGAAAGCCAAAAAGGGACAAAGATAAAGTCATTGATACAATGTTTGGTTGTTTAAAAATTGTATGTATATATTTTCAAGGGAATAAATGGAATGAGTATTATACTAGAACATGAATATTATACTAGAAATTCTAAGTCATAAAGTTAAATGGAAGTTGAGATAGAAAGTTGTTTTAGTTTCCAGGTGACAAAGTGGAAGTAAGTATCTATGGGCAGAAAAAGGTGAGAAACCTTCAAATGCTAGCAGTGGGAAAGGAGAGAAGCTGACCAGGGCTGCGAGGTGATCTGTTTAAGGATTTTTTAAAAATTGTTAATTGAGTTGTTTGTGGTAAAGTATATGTAACAAAATAGGCCATCTTAATCAATTTTTTGTTGTTTTTTGTTTTGTTTGAGACAGGGTCTTTCTCTGTTGCCCAGGCTGGAGTGCAATGAAACAATCAAGGCTCACTGCAGCCCCAACCTCCTGGGGCTCAAGTGATCCTTCTACCTCAGAGTCTCAAGGCATGCACCACCATATCCAGCTAATTTCTAAAGTTATTTTGCAGAGATAGGGTATCACTGTTTTGTCCAGGCTGGTCTTGAAGTCCTAGACTCAAATGATCCTCCTTCCTTGGCCTCTCAAAGTGCCGTGATTACAGGTGTGAATCACTGCACCCAGCCTCATGTTTTAAGTGTATAATTTAATGGCATTAACAACATTTGTAATTATCATCTCTGTTTCCAAAACTTTTTAATCACTCCAAACTTTAAGGATTTATATTGTAATTGGTTGTCTCAGAATTTTTCAGCTTAAAGGAATACGGTATTCAAACTCTTCATTTTTTAGTTTCAGTATATGCTGTATGTTAGAGTTGATTCTAGTAGTTATATGTCTCTTGTTTATCAGTTTCCTTTTATCTTTTCTGTTGCTGCATGTTTGGTTGAAGAGGGCATCCATCCAAGTAGGGAAGGGAGGATATTGTTCTGTCAAGGGCATATGATAGCTGTGTTCCTCTGCTGAGATCTTCAAAGCAATTCTATGTGTAGGAGAACATGGGTAGTAAAGTTCCCTTTTCCTTATTTAATGCATTTTAAAATTAAAAAGCAATATTATACATCAACAATTTAGAAAAAAAATTTAAGAATCTGTCATCACTTTGAATATAAAAATGATTTTTTTGCATATTTTTTCACATACATCTTTGACATTGTTGATTGTTATGCATCTAACATCTACAAATAGCTTGCTTTTTTCATCTAACATATCACCGTTTTTCATTTTTCCCAATTGTGTTCATAATAAATAATCCAAAGAATGCATGTAGCTTAATTTATATAGCCATACTATTTTCTTCAACATTTAGATTGTTGAAATTTATAAATGCGTAAGTAGCCATCTTCAGGCATCTTTCCATAGTTTAACTCCTTCATTTTAGTGTTGGAGAGGAAGACACACACATACAATGCTCACACATCTCTTGTTGTGGGCAATGGCTCCTGCATTTTTGGTGAAGATTTGGCAAATTCAGGGTGATGTGTTTTTATAATTATGATAAACATCAGATGGATGACAAATGTTTGATTTGGTTACAGGTTGTGAAAATCTTGGAGAAGCATGACCCCTTGAAGAACACCCAGGCAAAATATGGGTCTATCCCTCCAGATGAGGCCAGTGCTGTGCAGAATTATGTAGAACACATGCTCTTTTTGTTGATTGAAGAGCAAGCCAAGGATGCTGCAATGGGGCCGATTCTGGAATTTGTGGTCTCTGAGAACATCATGGAGAAACTTTTCCTTTGGAGCTTGAGAAGGGAATTTACTGATGAGACTAAAATTGAGCAGCTAAAAATGTATGAGATGTTGGTCACTCAGTCGCACCAGCCTCTGCTCCACCACAAACCCATTCTGAAGCCTCTGATGATGTTGCTGAGCTCTTGTTCAGGAACAACCACCCCCACTGTGGAGGAGAAGCTGGTTGTCCTACTCAGTCAGCTCTGCTCCATTCTTGCCAAAGATCCATCCATTCTAGAACTCTTCTTCCACACTAGTGAAGACCAAGGTGCTGCCAACTTCCTCATCTTCTCCCTTCTGATTCCCTTCATTCACCGAGAAGGGGCAGTAGGCCAGCAAGCTCGAGATGCCTTGCTATTCATCATGTCTCTCTCTGCTGAGAACAGCATGGTGGCCCATCACATCGTGGAGAACACCTACTTTTGTCCAGTAAGTCTCTCTCGTTGCCATTTTCCACTCATTCCCTTTTTTCTCTTCTGTTGCCAATGATGAATACTTTCTTACTCCCTCTTTTCTCCCAGCAAGTTGTATTTGATACTTCCTATGGAAAGATGTTTAGAGGAAATCTTTTGGAGGGAGCAGAGGAATCTTAAGTTGAGGTGCTATTTGGCTGAACAGTGTCAGCTCATCATAAGCTAACAGAGGAAGCTAGATGTCTTAACCATTTTTGGTTAATTTTTACTGCATTAAGAATGATTTTAGTTTTTCTAGGAGCACATCCTGAGAGATTGGTAAAACCTATACTTTCTAAGCCTTAGCTTTTCAGGTTGATTTTTCTCTGAAGAATCATGGCATGTGATAAGACTCCCACTGCTGGTTTCACAAATTAATTAGTTTCTCAGCAAGAAAATGACCACTAGTTTTTTGTACAATTTGAAATTAAGTTTTAGTGTGTTTTGTTGTCATAGGAAGATGGGGTGGTGGAGTGGGTGTTCAACAGTGTGCAGGGGCCACACTGACAACACCAAATGCTGGCAAGGATGTGGAGGAATAGGACCTCTCATTCTTGCTGATGGGAATGCAAAGTGGTACAGCCACTTTGGAAGACAGTTTGGCAGTTTCTTACAAAACTAAACATGCTCTTACCATATGATCCAGCAATTGTGCTCCTTGATATTTACCTAAAGGAATTGAAAACAAAAACCTGCACACAGATGTTTATAGAAGCTTTATTCCTAACTACCAAAACTTGGAAGCAACCAAGATGTCCTTTAGTAGGTGAATAAATAAAGCGGGGGTATATGTGGATAATGGAATATTTTTCAGCTAAAAAGAAATGAGCTGTCAAGCCATGAATAGACATGGAGGAACCTTAAATGCTTGCTACTAAGTGAAAGAAGCCAATCTGAAAAGGCTGCCTACTGTATGATTCCAACTATATGACATTCTGGAAAAGGCAAAACTATGGATGCAGTAAAAAGATCATTTTTTCCCCCTGAGCATTGGGGTAGGGTGAAGGATGAATAAGCAAAGCATCGCGGATTTTTATGGCAGTGAAATTACTTTGCATGATTCTAGAATGGTGGGTACATGTCAATACACATTTATCCAACCCCATAGAATGAAATAACACTGAGTGAGCACTCATGTAAACTATAGTTTTTGGGGTGACTATAATGTGTCACTGTAAGTTCAGTTGTAACAGATGTAGCACTCTGGTAGGGGATGTTGATAATTGGGGAGGCTATGCATGTGTTGGGGCAGAGGGTATATGGGATATCTCTGTACCTTTCAGTTTTGTCGTGAACCTTAAACTGCTTTAAAGAAACCTCTTAAAAATGGCAGTTTTGAGAGGGAGCCATCGAGGTTTGGGTTTTAGCTTATTTGAATTGTTTAATTCAATTGTGTAATTCTGCTGTTAAAGGAGAGCAGATATTGTAACAAATCAAAATGTTCCGGTGGTTCACGTGATCAATATGCAAAAGGCATTTAGAAAATACCATTTACAAAAGCAACATAATCATATGGTATGTTGAAATAAATCTAACAAATACATGAAAGGCCTTTATGGAGAAAATTGTAAATGACATAAAAGATCTAAATAAATAGCTCTGCAGCTTGAAGATATTGTATAGAGGAGACATTCCTGCAGATTAATCTACAAAGTTGATGCAATTTATGTTTTAAAAACTTTTTGTTATGAGAAAAAGTAAAATACAGAAAATTTAAAACACTAAGATGAACACTATATTCACACCACCGAGATTCGAAGTTGTTAATATTTTGCTATTCTTTGGTATTTTACGCTTTTCATTTGTTTTTGTTGTACCATTTGAAATTAAGTTACAGACATTAGATACTTTAGTATCTAATCTCAGCTATGAATGGGGACATTCTCCCACATAACCATAGTACTATTATTGTACCTAAGAACATTATATAATAATTCCTTAGTATGATCTAGTATCCAGTTCTCCCATTATGCCCCAAATTACTTTCATAGCTTTTTTCTCCCCCTTTGTAGAGTCCAATAAAAGATATACATCTTGCTATCAGGTCTCTTTAGTCTCTGTTAATATAATAACAGCCTGCCACTTTTCTTCCCCTTGACATTGACTTTTTAAGAGACCAAGCCATTCTCTTATAAAACACCCCCACATTCTGGGTTTGTTTGATTGTTTCTTGTGTGGTTTGACTTGTCTCTAAACCTGCATTTCTTGTGAATTGGACTTAGGTCTACACTCCCAGTTAAATTTAGGTTAAATGTTTTTGGCAAGGATACTTTACAGGCCATGCTATATACCTACTGCATTACAGCAACGGGCATGTGTTAAGTTGTCCCACTATTGGTGGGACAGTGAAATGCCAATTAATACTTATTAGAGTGATAAGTATTAAGTGGTAACTGTTAGACATCTGATAATACCAAGTGTTGTCAAGAGTGTGAAAGAAACAAGAACTTTGAGAATATAAATTGGCATAGTAACTCAGGAAAGCAGTATGGCAGTGTTTGGTAAAACTGAATATTTGCATACTGTGTGATCCTGCAGCTTCCCTTCTAGATACCTGGCATGGAGAAATCTGGCAGTTATTTACAAGGGTACATATACAAAGCAGTGATTTGAAAAACAGAAAAATAGAAGTACATGAAGTGAAAGATAAACTGGTTTATTAATATATCAGTGGAATACTTTTCAGCATTCAAAGTGAATGAATAATATATATTATGATGTAACTACATGTGTGAACACCAGTAAATCAAAAACCATGTTATTTATTTATTTAGACAGAGTCTTGCTCTGTCAAGCAGGCTGGAGTGCAGTGGTGCGATCTCTGCTCACTGCGACCTCCACCTCCTGGGTTCAAGTGATTCTCATATCTCAGCCTCCCGAGTAGCTGGCACTACACGCATGCGCCACCATGCCTGGCTAATTTTTTCTATTTTTAGTAGAGATGGAGTTTCACCATGTTGGCCAGGCTGGTCTCGAGCTCCTGACCTCAAGTGATCTGCCTGCCCAGCTTTCCAAAATGTTGGGATTACAGACTTGAGCTACTGTGCCCGGCCCAAGTTTACATAAAAATCGAAAACACAAAATCTTAGTATATACCGTTTTTTGGATATATATGTATACAGTACAAATATGAAAATAACCATAATAATAATATATGCTAAGTTCAAGACTGTGGTTTCTTGGGGATGAAGGAAGGAGAAGGGATGGTAATGAGATTGGAGTACGGTGTATTTGTAATTTTTATTGTTTGAAAAAAATCAGAGTGTTCTGAAGAAATTTTGGCAGAATGTTAAAATCTGTTAAGTCTTGGTGATGGGTTTCTATTATGTTTTGTATATTTTTGGTATTTCGTAATTTAAAAATTTAAATATAACAAGAATGGACTGTTTTTAATGTTTAGTTTTACATTTAACTGTGTCATAAGCAGGTTTTACTGAGTGTTGCTTTTATAAAAATATATTTTAAAACACTGTAGAGTTCATTAAAGTTGGAGGGAAAACATCTCCAGCTGACCTTGTTTGCTAGAATGGAACACGAACTTCGTTGTGTTAAGTTGCCCCTCAGGATAGATCCCATAATCTCATTTGTACCAGCTTTCTATAATTACATCTGACAACATAATTTAAAAAAAAGGACTCTTTATGTTGAAGATAAAAGCATACTCTATTAACCATCCAGCTAAGGACCACAATTGACAAAAAGGTTTCTCTAATTAGTATGATTGTCAAAGTGTGTTAGCATCAGGCTGTTGAAAGAGGAGTGACTCTTTAAGGAAGCTGGACCACTTTTGGAAACCTTTATAGTTCATAGGAAGAGCTCTAGTTCTGCTGCCTCTCTGCTCAAGATGTGCTTTCCCAGGAGAAGGAGGAGAATGAAGATATTCTAGGGAACAATCTGGTGCCAACAAAAGGATGAGGGCTAAATGACCCTGTCACTTTTTTTTTTAAACCAAATATCAATGGTTACTCTCCTGCCACTGTATATATATATTGGCATATGTAGAAAACAGTGTATACATAAGTCAAGTAATGCAAATTAAAGCAAGCGAACTTTAGTTACACATCCGTAGATAGAATGTGTTATTTATCCCAAATTCAAAATTTATGAGGCTTTTTATTTTGGCAAGTTGTATCAAATAGCCCCTACCAGGTGTTATGCTGAGAGCTTCAGACTAAAGCCATCTGCCAAAAATCTTTGTTTGCTAAAATTAACCAGATATCATTAGATGCTTAAAGTTAAACATTACTTGTTCATTGTGCTGTGCATATCATCTTTCTTTTCTTTTTTTTTTTTGTATGTCATCTTTCCTTCCTTCATCGGAAACATTTCTATTGTGTAAAACATTATGCCAATCTTGGTACATGAATTATTTTCTTTAATCCTGGCAACAACTCAGTGAAGAAATGGAAATTTAGAGAACTTTAATAACTGCCTGTCAATGGCAGAGTCTGGTTCAAAACCACTTTTGTCTATTACTAAAATCCTTGGTCTCAGCAACTGCTACGCTATACTGCTGCCAGGGAAGTTGATTGCTTTTTTGTCTCTTGTTATCCTTATGGTTTTATATGGTGAGTAGTTTCTTTTAAAGAGATTCTTGAGAGAAAATAAGTGAAAAATACTGGGTTAGTACTTAATGTGTTGGGAATAAATGGTATGTTTTCCAATTTTGTTTTGTTTTGTTTTCTGGATGGGAATCCTAAGATCAATAAAAGGCTAAAATAATGGATGGGAATTTTATATTTAATGAACTGTTGAATACATCTGTATTAAACTTTTATAATTTAATTCTAAGTTAAAAATGAAATTTAACAGTAAATAGAATGTGCTATTCATCTCTTAACCTAGAAAAGTTGCCTGCAGACCTGCTGTTGCCTTTCCTTTTCCTTGTCCTGTTCCCATAGCACTGGGTATCTCCTTTGGTAGTAATTCTCTTTCTTGCATTTATTAGTTTATCAGCCATCTGCTCCATCTCTGCTGGTCTGACTTGTTCACTACTCTTTCCCCAGGACCAATCATGCATATGTCTGGACCACAGTTTGTGTTTTAGAAATATGTGCAGTCTGGGTGAATGAATCTGAGCTCTGAGCATAGCCTAGGAAGGGAGGATATAAATACCATAAAGATTTAGAATCTTGTTCCTAAGAATGTAATACTCTTTACTCTGCAGAATGTTGTCTCCCCTATTTCTTTGCCATTCTGAAGGAGATAGCAGAGACACTTTTCTTAGTGGCTGGAAGATGGCAGGACTTCCTGTTCAGCTTTTATATAGGCAGTGTCTTTCTATTCTGGGAGTATCCTTGTGCATAGAGAGTATCCTTCTGTATGGGGAATATTGTTCTGGATGGGCAGCCTTCTGTTCCCATCTCAACCATGCCCTTTCAGAATACTCATTTTAAAAAGTGAATATTACGTATGTGTTATTTTTAATTACTGTCACTGATGTATGTAATTTGAAAATTAATGTTGCTGTAATTATATTGATATACTGAATAGTTACTCCCAGCTTTTTAGTCAGACAAATTAAGCCTGTCTTTATGAATTCATCTTCAAAGCCTCAAAGTGGTTAAGAAATCAGGAGTGTGCAGAATGAAAGCCTTTGTTCTGTGGTTAATTTAGCATGAGTTAGCAAATGTAATTGATTTTAAAAAAATGTGGCATCAAGATTAGATTGCTCTTCGAGGAGAACTTCTGGTCTCTGTTCTCTTTTGCCAGAGGTTTCTAATTTATAAGAAGCAACTCATTTGGGTCACATTCAAAACTAGAATTAAAGTGATTTGTATGGGCATGTTCACTTTAAATAAGGGACATCTCCTTTGGGACCACAGATGCCCTGATTTTTTAAAAAAGAGATAAATGTACTGTCTTGTTTACTGTTGTATTTCCTGTACTTAACATAGTACCTGGCCTGAAGTAAGTGTTCATTTTTTTTAAATGAGTGAGTAAATGAATGAGTGATTAAAGGTTGCCAGGAAATAGAACAGAGAAATGTAGATAATTTTTTATTTCTTTAGTACTGAAATGGTTCATTTATTCGTCTCCCTGTCCTTTATATTCTACTGGGAGCTTCTATATCATCTCCCCAACCCCTCCCACACCTTCTTATGACTTCATGTCGTCTCTCTGTTAAGACCTCTCCGACCTGTACTCTATTGTTGAGTTGGGTATGTTATTCATAGGAAGGACTCCTAGCATCTGAAACTCAACATACCTGACTGGACAAATCATCCATACCTCCAATGTGGACTGGAATGAACAAGTCAGACCAGGAGAGATGGAGAAGATAGGCAATACACTAATGCATGCAAGAAAGATGATTGCTACACAAAGGGATACAGAGAGTGCTGTGGGAACAGGACAAGGGAAAAAGGGAGGCGACAATAGATCTACAGATCATTTTTTTCCAAGTTTAACATACCTAGGCCCACACATCCTCTGACTTTCTGTTTGTGATGCCAGGCACTGTGGATTATTTTGTCATATTTTATCTGTCTAAATCTCCTTTTCCTTCTTCTCTCTCTGGTTCGTATGGCTTGAGGACCCATAGATGTTGATCCCTCCGTCTCTAGCCTAGAGCTCTCTCTTAAGCATCAGCCCCACATATCTGAATACTGGGCTCTCCATTTGGATGCCCCACATGCTTCTCATGGTGTCCTATAAAACCCTGCAGGATCTGATTCCTGTTTACCTTGCCAGTCTTTTTCCACCTGTAATTCTGCACTCTAACAACACTGCGCTTCTCTTAGTTCCTGGAGAATACCATCTTTTCTTTCTCCTTTGAGCTTTTTACACACTGTTTTCTCCACTTGGAATATTCTTCCTTCCCCCTACTCTTTTTCTGGCCAACCCCTACTTATTCATCACTTCTTCCGAGAATGTTTCCTGCTGCCAGCCCTCCAAATCTAAGTTAAGAGTCTTTTGAACACCAACAGCACCATCTATTTTCTATCATGTATTCTGAGCATTTCTAACACTGTTTTAATTGCCCGTTAATCTCATTTAGACAGTGAGATCAATGAGTATGTCACTGTTTCTTTTCTGGGCCTGCCTCATTATATTTTCTTGAATGTTTCCATCTCAGTTGAGGCCATTGTCACCTCAGGGTTTGTGCTAGATCAAAGCCTTTTGTAGCTGACCTTTTTTTTTTTCTTTCGAGGTACTCCCAACTCTCTCTCCCAGGCTGGAGTGCAATAGTCCAGTCTCGGCTCACTGCAACCTCAGCCTCCCAGGCTCAAGCGATTCTCTCTTGCCTCAGCCTCCTGAGTAGCTGGGGTTACAGGCTTGTGCCACCACACCCAGCTAATTTTTGTATTTTTAGTAAAGACTGGGTTTTGCCATGTTGGCCAGACTGGTCTCAAACTCCTGGCCTCAAGTGATCCACCCACCTCAGCCTCCCCAAGTACTGCGATTACAGGTGTAAGCCACTGCCACTGGCCCTGTAGCTGACTTCTTTGCATCCATTCTGTGCCATCCCCGGCCAGCTTATACATATCTAGGATCTCCAAGTTGCTGCTTAATCAGTATCACTTCCCAGTTGGGAAGCCTCCAGTACTATGAAATTGATTGTTTCTCTGGTTTTATATTTACAAGGTAAAATCAACAAGCGTTCAGCATTGTGTTATCTTCCTACATTTCTGTCTCTATTGAAGGCATCACCATTTTCTTAGTGACCAAGTTGGGTAACTTGACAGTTTTGAGTTCTTACCCCACTTACCAAGCCCAAATGCTATGAATTTAAATTTAGAAACAGAGCACTAAGGAAGAAGAAACCTCTAAGACTTTTGGATTAATGTCAGACCTATAGATGGCATGGTTAAATCACCCTCATATCCACCTTCCATGGGATACTCAAATTTAATTTCCTCCTCTCTTTTCCTCGTGCTGATGCCTCCATGTAGACTCACTTTATCTCTGCTTGAACTTGTCATCACATCTTATTGATTCCTGCCCCACAATTCTTTCTCCTTGCTATTGTTTCTGAAGATCAGATGAAAAAATATACATGGAAGTGCTTTCTAAACTGCAAACATGCAGCTGTCAGTCATGACCTTAAACATGCAAAGAATTGCATGGAATCTTTCTCATAAAGCTCATGGTTTCTGTGTATGTGACTTTCTGTCCTGGACCAACTTAAAACAGGGCATTCTCCTCTAGACTGGGATATGTACCTTCTCTGTATTTGCACTAGTTGGATTGTACTATAGCTTTGTTTCTCTCTGTAACTTCTTGATGCTGGAATAACATTTTATTCATCTTTGTGTGTACTCTCCCTACACATAGCCCTGCATAATGCCTGGCACATGAGAGATGAGCAACCCATATCAACCATGTATGTATTAGCCAGATAGTTCTGGTATTGCTGTTCCTTCTGCTGGAATTGTCCTTCCCTACTGTCTCCACTTGTTTGCATCATTTTTAGCTGGCTGATGGGCTCTCTAATACCTTGCTACTTAAAGATACAGTCTTGCCAGCTGCCTTGGCATCACCTGTGAGCTGTTAATTGCAGGTTGAGAACTTTAGGAAAGCATTTATTTTGTTTTTATTTCTAAATGCAGGTACTTGCAACTGGGCTCAGTGGTCTCTACTCTTCCCTGCCTACAAAGCTGGAAGAGAAGGGTGAGGAATGGCACTGCCTTCTGAAAGATGATTGGCTTCTACTTCCTTCTCTGGTCCAGTTCATGAACTCCCTGGAGTTTTGCAATGCAGTCATACAGGTATCAGAGTAAAATAAATGATCCCTTTGCTATGGCTTCATTCAGAGCACAAGCACAGGATTAATTTAAAAACATTCACGATTAAAAATATGAATATATGTTTATGGTGCTTTAAGCCAACTGAATGTCTTTGAATGAGTGAAAATTTTAGCTTGTAGGTTTCTGGAAGTTTTAACTGAGGAAAAAAATGAGATTTTCTTTATCTTCTTTATAAAAAGTGTTAATTCTGTTTTGATTATCTACTTAACCATCAAAAATAAGTTCAATGCCTGACTCATTAAATATGTATTTTTAGGTTTCTAAGTACTCCAAATTATACCACTGTTACTTTGAGGTCTTCTTGGGAATCTGCAAAGGAGAACACTTTATTTTGCTTAATGGTGCATACTACATAAAGAATATTGTTATCCCAATTGAATTTAGAAGAAGTTAAACATGTTCATTGCAGCACAAATTAAATTTGCTTTGAAATTGGCCTGTTTGGTGGGGGGAAAAAACAACCACTGAACTCTTGTGTATTTGGCTTCTTGATTAGATTTTACCTTTAGATTTCTTGTTACTGTTTTCAATAAAAATCAGATTTTATACATATTTAAGGATGTGGTAGGTTTTCATAAAAAATGTTTTAGTTCCATATAGCATAAATATTGCCTTAGTATTGGATTTATTAAGAAATCAAGTTTTCTTTACAGCGATTGTAGGATGAAAAATGTTAGTTATAATCTGTTTATCTACCAAATAAAGAAATAGCTCCTGGAAGAAAATAGAAGTAAATTATTTTAGTCCCATCTCATTTTTATTTTTAAGTCAAAGGAAGTTTTATTTATATATAAGATAATTGGATTACGTCTTATTTTTTACTTTAATATCGCAGTCTATCAACATTTTCTTGCAGAAGTTTGTGGAAATAAAAAAGATAGAACTACTATTAGTTCTTTACCAAAAACGTACACACAGAGAGAGATGATCAGTAATTTAAAGATCTAGCTCACTTCCCTAGAAATTGCTTTTTACTTTATTGTTTGACTTTCTTCTTCTTTTTCATCATCTTCTTTTACAAAAAAGAGAAGTAAAGCTAATAGGCATGATAAGAACAGGGAAATTATATATTTTATACTGTATTTTGACATTGAAACTATATACTTTAAAGATTTTTTGTTTGGGGAAGACTACTGAAAAGGTTACTTATAAAAGATATTAGTAGAGATTATCTACACTAAATATATTTTGGAAATGAAATATGAGAAGTATTATACCTCTGATAATGTTTTCTGCTTTTGAATATTTTGTATTTTTCTGAAAATATTTTTAAATGCCTTTCTCTTTAATAAAAATGACTCAGGAAATACATATTCAAAATGAGAAAATTTTTTTCTGCTAATAAAATAATGTATTTAATTGTTCATTTTGACAGTTATACTCAGTTTTTAAAATTAGTTACAGGTTAAGATGTAACTTAGAAGAAAGGAAGGGGCAAAATTATACTTTCCAATTTGTTAACTTTAATTTATGAATTCTTATGCAGACTCAGTATTTATTGTCTTTTTTCCAAACACACAGTTCAAAATTACCAATATTTTCTTTGAAAGTTTGACTTCTACGAATTTTCACCAAGCTGTTTATACTGGAATAAGCTATTTGAAAACCTTACATGACATCATGAAGTCTGATTTGTTCCTTAATCACAGAATAAATGGCCAAAAATTGGATTTCCCTTTTGAGTTCAGGATGTACACATACATAATTGTTTTAAGAAGAACTAAAGAGTGGACTTTTTGCCTTTTTCATGACTATCTCCCTCTCTCTTAGGTGGCTCACCCCTTGATTAGAAATCAGCTCGTCAATTACATTTACAATGGATTTTTGGTACCAGTCTTGGCTCCTGCTCTCCATAAGGTCAGTGATAGGCTCATGTAATCTTCTGTCTCTATAATACAAGTGATAGACACTGAGGAAGGTAAACACAGTGTAATTGATTTGATGGTGATTTTAGGCTTATTTTTCTTCTCATTCCATCCATATTTCTTAGCAATATCAAACACAGTTCTTCTTCTTTTTCAAGAAAAAGAAGAACTTAAATCTGATGGGTTTCATCTGGTGTTATAGAATACAGTATTGTGAGTGTCAGGTAGGATAGTCAGCCCAAAGGAACATTGGCAGATAGAATCTATCTCTGTGCCTGCTTCATTTCATGGGCAGTGGCTACTTGGAACTGTCAAGCTGTCCTCCACGGCTGAGTCTGTCATAGAGAATGCAAGGTCTGCCGTGGGCATGGAGAGGCGCAGTGGTAGCACAAGTGCCATAGATTTGCCATCTACTTAATGGAACATAATTTTTTATTGTAACAATTTTGTGACAGCAAAAATTAAAGTGAAGCCAAGTTAAGGTCCCATCAAAGGTTGGCTGTCTCATTAGCACCACTCTGAATTTCTTATGACTCTCTCATTTTGTATAATAAATCAACTGATATGTTTTCCATTGTGAGCTGTCAGGAGACACCCCTGGGCCTAGAATTCTAATTTTCAGTTTTTTCTTCACTAAGTAAAGAGATTGCTGCAGTATTTAGTTCAGAGGATCTTAGTCAAGATTTTGGAATCACACCTCTGGCAGGGACAGAAGCAAAGAGCAACTTGATCATATGTTGCTTTGATGGAATACCCACCATTCTGCATCCTGAAGTTCAATTTCTATGGTCTCTTATTTTACAGAATCCAGAAATACCTGATTATGGCAACTTTGAAACCTTGCCATCCATGCTGAAGGGGTTTCTGGTTTAGAGCAGGTCTTGACAGAAGTTGTTCATCCCTTAGTATTTAGTGCCTTTCCAGTGTAGTGGCCATGTTTTCCAAACCAAACAGGGTACTTGGTTTGACTTGGATTTTTATGTTATATCTAGGTTCAAAAGGACATCTTTGATGTAGTTTAAACATAAAAATACTGAGGTTTTCATGTTATTTTAGTAGTTTATGGGCACAAAGGAACCAAGTCTGTGAAATTAGATCTCTCTTGGAAAATAGAGGATTAACTTTGGAAAATACAAAAGTCGTATTTGTTTCTAAGTTAACTTTGTGTTTGCTAGTATTTTGTTGTTCGAGGGAATGGGATGGGTGTCTTGCACTGAAGACCTCTAAGCCTCTTTTTGCATGAAAGAATTTTCTTTTTCAGTGGAACACAAGAGTGCTATAGAAATTCTTTGGCAGTAATAAATTCTTATCTATATATACTCTCACACATTTAGACTTTCTTCTTCATTTATTTCCATCCTTTTCCTCATTGACCTATTGACATAAAATAATTTCCTGTCATTATTATAATAGTGATAATTATGAGACTATTTGTTCAGGAAATTTTATGTTTTGTAATTAGCACACTTTAATGTTACAAACATTAGTGATAACTCTTTATCCATAATTGAGCATGAGAGCCACCTCAGAGATCTGTTATGAGGATCTTACTGGTCACCTTACTCTTCTCCTTCATAGGAGTGCTCATTTAGCACAAGTAGAGTTAAATCATTACATGTGCGGTTACTTGCTTAATGTCTGTCTTCCCAGTGGTATGCACACTTTCTGGTATGGCATATTATCACATGTGTTTTCACTGGGATATCTCCAGTGCTGAGCACAATACCTTAGACTTAGGAGGCTGAAGAAACAACACACAAATGGAATGTTTGTTAAAGTGCCAACAGAGTGCTGGCACTTAGTACCTTCCCAGAGGGTGGTTCATAAGAGAATAGTAGCTAACATTTGATCTAGCACTTTATATACATTATGTGATATCCTCAGTTGTGCCCATAATTAAAATGTGAGAGTTTTAAAACCATAGAGTTAATATATGATCATTGTAAAAATGAGAAAGAGTCGATGCTGAATATGTAAAATGAAAAGCGAATGTTACTGTATTAGGTTTGAATTTTGAACCCCTAATTAAGATTCCTTAACTTGTATACATTGCACACAATTTCTCTTAGGGCTATATAGCAACTAGGGAGAACAAAGACAGATTTTTTTTCTTCTTAATTAATTTTTCTCCCTTTTCTCAATCTGTTTTTTATTTGTTTTATTTTTTATCATTTAGGATGAACAGGGAGGGTTAGGGAAGAAGAGGCTAGGGAAGGTGAACAGCCTCTCCTCTGGCTCTTGGCTCCCTATGTGGTTGATGAAGAAAGGAGCTGTTTCATGAGTGGCAGGACAGGGGTTCAGAAGCACATCAACAAAGAAGTCTAGAACTGGGTGTTTGTTGAGGTGTTCCTAGTGAGAGCAGTCATATCGTATTTACTATGTTCTCCCCTTTGATATGGGGAGTGATATGAGAAGTCTGGGCTCAGGTCTACTGGAGGGACTCCTGTCTTGTGTTTTCCATACTCTGTGTCCACTGCCTTGACATGAGCCTTATTTTTTTTTTATTCTGTATATATTTTTTTAATTTTTATTTTTATTATACTTTAAGTTCTGGGAAGCATGTGCAGAACATGTAGGTTTGTTACACAGGTATACATGTGCAATGGTGGTTTGCTGTATGCATCAGCATGTCATCTACATTAGGTATTTCTCCTAATGCTATCCCTCCCCTATGCCCCACCCCTCAACAGGCCCTGGTGTGTAATGTTCCCTTCTCTGCCTCCGCGTGTTCTCATTTTTCAATCCTACCTTGTTTACAAAGTGGCTTTCTTTACAAATTTGGCTTTATTTACACTGTGAGGGGAAAATCTCCTACTTAAGCCTTAGTAATGGTGGATGCCCCTCCCCCCACTAAGCTCAAGCATCCCAGGTTGACTTCAGACTGCTGTGCTGGTAGCAAGAATTTCAAGCCAGTGCATCTTAGCTTGCTGGGCTCTGTGGGGGTGAGATCCACTGAGCTAGGCCACTTGGCTCCCTGGCTTCAGCCCCCTTTCCGGGATACTGAACAGTTCTTTCTTGCTGGCCTTCCAGACACCACTGGGGTATGAAAAAAACTCCTGTACCTAGCTCAGTGTCTGCCCAAACGGCTGCCCAGTTTTCTGCCGTTCTAACCCAGGACTCTAGTGGCATAGGCACCGGAGGGAATCTCCTGGTCTGCAGGGAGTGAAGACTGTGGGAAAAGCATAATATCTGGGCCAGAATGCACTGTTCCTCATGGCACAGTCCCTCATGGCTTCCCTTGGCTTGGAAAGGGACTTCCTCAATCCTTTGTGCTTCCTGGGTGATGCAATGCCCCACCCTGCTTCGGCTCACCCTCTTAGGTTGCACCCACTGTCTAACCAGTCCCAAGGAAATGAGCCAGGTACCTCAGTTGGAAATGCAGAAACCACCCACCTTCTGTGTTGATCTCAATGGGAGCTGCAGACTGGAGCAGATCTCATTCAGCCATCTTACTGGCTACCTCTCGTTATTCAATGAGCCTTATTTAGTATCCTAAATACATTTTCTTTGTGTACTCTCTCAGCCACCAACTTATGTGTAACATTTTAGTTACCTGCCATCAGCATAGGCAGTTTACAGAGGTGAACCTATTCTCTCTGTCTCATAAATAATTTCATGCTGAAACAATATTTCCACAGCATTTCTGAACCAGAGAGGAAGTCATTACAAAGTGTTGTGGATAATGAAGGGTGGGGAGTGGGAGTCCTTGACAAGTGAAGATTGTCTCTGCTTTCCTCTTTCACTCTATGTAAGGATAATACAATACTTAGCCTTTGCAAGTTGTTATTGCAAGTTCCTGTGTTACGTGCTTTCCACATCCAGATGGCCATTTGTTTTTCTGTGTTAGTAAAATGGCATTTCAGATTTTTTTTAAGGGGCTGCATAGTTTATCCTATAGTGTGAATATACAGGTTCACAATTCCTCATCCACAACTTAAACTTCAAAAAGCTCTGGAAACACAATGTTTCCTTACAATTCACTTGGTTTACAGCCTAACCTTTGCTAAACTAATTTGGTACTGAACCCTACCTGAACCACCTCGAGGCTATTTACTTTTAACTCACTTGTGTTAATGTTTGTATGTTTTGTGGAAGAAACAGTAATATATTTGATTATAAGGCACTGCCACCAGTCCTTCTTGGGGATGTTTTCTCAAATATGGCAGATGTACTTACTACTTTTCTTAAAGTTTTACATTCTAAAATACACATGGTCTTCAGGGTTTGGGATAAGGGATTGGAAGCCTATTTTAGACATATGGGAAAGGATACATTTTAAATTTAAGGTTAAAATCATACTTTGTAAAAGTCATATTAAATAAAATGATACTCTGTTAACATAGGTAATATAGGGATTAGATCCAGCTATAGATATAGATATCACTTTGTACAAAACTGATTATTTATGACTTCAGATTAATAGGACAGCCCTCATTCAACAAGAGCTCGTTTTGTTATCTCTGTATGTTGAATTTGTCAAAGCTAAATTTTCAAGACTGAATATTCATTGGTGTCGTTCTATTAGTCTGGGTTCTCGGGGAAGGAGATGCTAAGATAGGATTAAACGTGCAAGGATTTTATTTGGGGAAATGCCTGTGTGAAAGAAAATAGGAGCAAGATGGGGGAAGGCTGGGAGAGCTTTCAGACTGCAATGCCAGTCTGACCCCAAGTGAAGGAGAGAGGGAGAGAAGGTTGGCTGGAAGTGTCCTAGACTCTTGAGCAGTCTGAGAAAGGCTATCATAGGCCTGTGTCTCCCAGCAACAGGCCTGCCTTAGTATGCCTACTATACTTAGTGCTCCTAGTCACTAGCTGGGAGCAACCTGCAGGAAGTGTAGCCTCAGAGCAAATGTGGAGAACATTCCAGAGTTTAGCAGCAGCAGCCCCAGCTCAGTAATGCTCCCTGTAGTTGGAAGTCTGCAAGGTACATTTCCAAGGCCACTACGATGGTTATTGGATTTCCATGGTTTTTCTGATTATAGATGTGTACAAGAT